ACAGCATCTAGAGTGACTTCCAGATGCATGTGTGTGTGCTAGGATTCTGAAGTAAAATGAGGAGTGTACAGAGCCTGCTCTTAGAAGTTTCATTCTCAGTGGCTTTAGTAACCTATGGTTGGCCACAGTATGGAAACATTAAGTGGAAAATTCTAGATATAAAGTATTCGTAAGTTTAAATTATATGCTGTGCCATGATAAAATTTTGTGTTATGCCTGTCCATCCCACTTGGTATGTAAGAATTTTCATAATAGCTTCTCTGTCAGGTCATCTATTACTGAGCCCAAAGAGAACTGGAGTGGTTTGGCCTTCAGAATTATTTATTTATTTTTTTTAGTTCATCTCTCTTATCCAAGAATATGAGCAGAAGTGATGAAAATAAACTGTGTTCTGTGGCTCCAGCTCTTTGTGACATTACACACGGGGCCTGCCACTCTTAAGCCTAGGTTCCAGAATGAAGGTAGTGAGCTGATTTGTAGCCATCTTACACTCAGGGCTAAGCCACAATTGCCTCATAGCAGCTTCAGTAACGGAGCAATAAATAAGCATTCACCGAAAGCCTCTAGTGTTTGAAGGTTAATTATTAACTGCTGCAGCCAGAGCTGTGGCAGCTGACCAATACAGCTGTCCCCTACTTGACTCCTCCATTGTCTGCAAGCTCCTTGAGGACCTGTGTTATTCATCTTCTTTGTCATCTGTCCAATATAACCTGATGTCATGTACAACGATGATCCAGTTCATTTAAGTTGGGATGTGTGGGAAGGTTAATTCCCTTGTATTAGAGCAGTGTTTTCTCACAGTGTGATCCTTGAGACACCTTTATCAGAATCATGGAATTTTCCAGAAATAGATTTCTTGATTTCCACTGGAAGGTGAAGGCCCAGTGCACTTAAGTTGGGAACTATTAGACTCAAAATTACCTATCATGATTTTATTTTTCAGTCTATACTGACATTGGTATAAAACTTTGGTATAAAACAAATGGTTTTACTTGCAGTTTTTTCCCCAGACCAGACCCATTTTTGTGATATGGTAGGAAGGATGCATGGATGGGTGGATGGATAGATGGGTTGTGGACGGGTGGATGGATAGATGGGT